TGGCGGTTCACTCTAAGCGCCATGTGCCCCGGTGGGGGAGGAGGGCTTGATTGGCCTTGGGGCAAGGGAGCATAGGGCGTCCATGGGCCGGATCAACTTGCTTGGAGGGCTAGATCTAGCTCACAGAGGCTCTCTTGCCCACCCCTGGACTAGACAATCAGAATGGCTCTTTCTGGCCTTGGACTCTGTGGAATTTCTCGAATAAGAATTCAGCCTTTGGAGAAGGATCTTGAAACTCCAGCCAGGGCCCCTATAGGCTCCATTCCTTCTGAGGGGTGCACTAAGCCTACGCCTTCAGGGGGAATTTGCCTGAGTAAAAGGGGAGTGAAGATCTCAGGATCTGGCCTGATCATTTTGATGAACCTCTTCTCCCATTGACAAAATCAGAAAGCGCAAGGATAGGTAGGTACTAGCCGATGCAACAAGCCACAGATTCTGTTTGTAAGTCCCTTCACTGCAGAGAGTGTAGGACTGATTCCTGGGGCTTGTTATTACACAATGATGGATGAATTAACACCACCCAACACAAATTCACTGTTTGCCAAAGAAAGCCCTCTGAGGAGCTACTGTAGTCCAAGGAGCTTTATTCACCATGCTGGTGAGACAGGCCAACATCTGTAAGGTCTGTGGGACGAGATCCTGCTCTCATCTGGGTGGGCCACTGCTTCCAGAGCAAGTTCTGTTGCTGATGAGGTGTCAGCCTCTTTTTTTGATGAGGACCCCGGCTCTCAGCTCTGCTGGCAGCTTCCTGTCTGGTGTCTGGTTGCCCCACAGGCTCCCAGAGGGCTGCTCCCCACTCCACTCTCCACTGGGAGCTGGGGGGAGCTGCTGTTCACTTCCATGTTTTCTGCCAGGAGCAGGGTAGAAACCATGCAGGGTTTCTCACCTCCCCAGCTCCTACTAGGAGCAGGGGGGAAGCTGCCTAGGGCTTCTCACCCACCCATTCTCCACCAGGAGTTGAGTCCAGACACCCAGGGCTGCTTGTTTCCTCATAAGGCACCTTACATCAACCTGCATCATATAAACCAGCCCTAAAACCTTGTGACACGGCCCAGACATGGCTTGGTTTCTATGTGATTCTGTATTATTGCAAGGAAGAAAATACCGCAGTCAGCTAAGGGGGAAAAAATGCAGTTAGGGTTGCATAATAATATCAATGCAAAAGAAAAGGGTTTCGTTCAACTTATTTCTTATTTTAAAATACAATTCCTTGTAAGCAAGATCCATTTTATACACAGCTGTATACGTGCTATTGTTTATCCACTCTGTACGTTTATGGGGCAGAGGTGTGCTGTGAATCCTTAAAACAAGAAAAAACACTCAGTACAAATAAAAATCAATGCAGCTGTATAATAGACAGCAAAGGAGGGAAGCCATTCTGTTTTTACATATAGGAGAGTTAACTCTGCAAGCTTTACACTTAATCATCAGTGAGTTCCTACCAGAATATTACTATTGCTAAAGCATGCTCCTGCTTTATGTTTGTACAATATAGATTGCTATAGTCACATACTGCCAGCTGGCTGAGGTTTGTAAAGTATTTTTGAATATGAATCAATCTTCATAATACTGCCGGGAGGTAAGCATCATTACCGCCTTTTAATAGCTTGGGAGACTGTGGAGCTAAGACTGAGCAGTGACGATCCAGATCCTCAAAGGTATTCAGGTGTCCATCCTTCCTTCTAAGGATCCAGGCCTTAGTGACTTAGCCAAGGTCAGGAAGGAGGACCAGGGAGGAGCTAGAATGGGTGCAGCACATAAGTCTCCTACTTTTGTGCTTAAATTTCAAACTATCCTTCCACTCTGTGCAGAATGCATGATGGTCTGATACCAGACTTGCCAGGTTACTTGAAGATTTGCAAGTATTTGAGTGATTTGGGTATTTCATTCTTTTTCTGTCTCTCATTCATTTTGTGGCAACTGGATTTTCTGGTTTACTTTTGGCCTCACTGCTTATTAAGGATTTAAGGAACAATTACTTGCCTTATTAATGTACAATATTAATAGGTACCTCGCCCCCGCTCCTGCTCCCAATTTTATAAACACAGAATCAAAGGTACAAGTCCCAGTCATGGAGAACAGCACACAGTTGGTCAGAATGTATGGACCTGAGCCCCCTTATGCCAGACAGCTGTGTATCATGCCCGTTCCTACACCGGCTCAGGCACATTCGACACCAGCATCTTCACTGTGGCTGCAGTTGTGTTCTCCCCAGTTGCTTTTCAAACAGTCAAAAATAGAGGCTTCCGTTCCATGACACTGCACATCATCAAGCCAAATGGGTCCTGTACCTTTTTTGAGATGAGCAAAAAAAACCAAAAAGCCAAATCAGGCACTTGTAGGGCATGTGGGACAGAAATATACAGTCGCCCAAAGCCAGATGTAATGTCAATCCCTCAAAAAACAGGACTATGTAGCACTTTAAAGACTAACAAGATGGTTTATTAGGTGATCCACTTCCTTAGATCAAATTGTGGAAGAAAATTGGCATGACCATATATACCAAAGGATACAATCAAAAAATGAACACATATGAAAAGGACAAATCAAATTTCAGAACAGAGGGGGGATGGGGGATTAGGGGAGAGGTAAATGTCTGTGAGCTAATGATATTAGAGGTGATAATTGGGGAAGCTATCTTTGTAATGGGTAAGATAATTAGCGTCTTTGTTGAGACCTAGGTGTAAAGTGCCAAATTTAAGCATGAGTTTGACTACACTGCTATATTTCTATTACAATCCCTCAAAAAGACATTCATTAAGTTTCACACTTGCCTTAGGGCTAGGCTGAGGCTAACACTCTGTGTCAGGAAGGGGTAAATGTGTTTCCCCAGGGAGAAGCCTAGGAAGGAACTGTGACTACGTCTAGATTACAGAGCTTTTCCGGAATACTGGAGGAATCCTGGAAAAGTTCTGTCGCATCCAAGGAATGTGTCTGCTTTTCCAAAAAAAATGTCGGAAAAGTGGATGCGTTTTGTCGGCATCCCTGTAAATCCCGTTTCACGAGGGAGAAGGGATGCTCCAAAAGAGGGTTTTTTCCTGACATTTGGCCCCAGTGTCGGAAAAGCCTCCTTCAGAAGAAAAGTGGAAAAAGAGATGCAAATTGCAGTTCATAATTTGTGTATCTTTTTCCGACTTTTCTTTGTAGGGCAGACATAGCCTAAGTCACATTTTCCCTCCCTATACCTCAGTGGCTTTTAAGACAAAGTAACTTCTTGGAACTTTTTACTGGGTGCAGCTGACTTCCCCTCTCATTGCAGGCTGGTGCACTGGGGCAGGTAGAGTTAAAGCTCCACCTAGTCCCAGCCTTCCCTATACCCATCTGCAGGGGAATGGGATCAGTGGGCCTGCAAAGGCGACTCTTCCCAATGCTCCATGACTTTCAGCGTTGCTAACCCGGAGAGAAGGAAAGGGCTCTTTGTACAGCCCACGCCCATCCTTGCTCACGTTGCAGAGTGGGGAACCAGCCTTCCCTGGTACACCTTTACCACCCTGTGTGTCCTGTAAGCACAGGTCACAATCCTGTCCTTTGCTACCAGTGTAAATAGGACAAGCCACGCCTATGGGAACACATAAAAAACTTTTGAAAGAAAAGACAGGAGGGGAAGGAATTGGATTGGAACTGAAGTTGTCACCTGACATGGTGGAGGTGGTGTCTCAGCTTGATTCTCATGCACTTTGCTGCCCGTAGTCCCTTTCAAACACTTAGGCCTTTGGGCACCCCTGCAGGGATTACACTTGCCACATATAAAAGGCTTTGCTAAGGCAGTGCAGAGATTTAGGTCAGACCTAAGCTCTCTCTACTTTCCAGGTCTACAAAACTGGGCTGGAAATTTAGCAAGAGCTAAATTCCTAGTACTACTGTGGCACTTCTGCTTCCAGTTTGAGCTGGAACTAGGAAGTGCACGGCACATGGAAATGCAAGATCAGTGAGGAAACAATGCGCTGTGAACTTCTGTGAACTTTGAAGAAGCTGAGGGAGTTCGGGTTGTGGGTAAAACTTGCGGTGGGTGGAAGATAGAAAGGTTTTCCTTTAAATTATAATGGCTCGCCCCCTTGATAGTCTCAATCCCAGCAATCCCATTTAATACAGAAATCTCTAAAATCCTTGCTTCTGTGGATCATCCCTATATCTGAATGGCTTGTGCCCAGTTGTCCCATAACACTTCCATACAATGCTTCTGTAAGTTATGATATGTCATCTTTCCTGTAGCAGAACTCTCATTCACTTTGGTAGGAGTTTTATCTTGCTAAGAGTAGCAGACTCTGTCTGACCAAGCGCCTTTCTCTTTCAGAGGCCAGTGTGGGGCAGGGGGGAGATTTTGACACCCGGAAAATAGAAATAGCAGGTGGTAGGGAGATAAAAGAGGCAAATGGAAATTTCAGACTTATCCTCTACGGCAGCATGTGTGCAAACTCCATGCAGTTCATGTGTGAATGCAAGTATCTCAGTATTCACCAGGAAGGAAACATGTATTTTGTGCAACCTTTGACTGTGATACTGCACTGGGAACGCATTTCAGGACTTCCTACTGTGAACAAAAATCCAGTGCAGTGAGAGTGGCACTGAACAAGTGTGACAACCTCTCTCTCTATGTAAATGCCTGGCTTAGGTGCCAGGAGGCCTGAAATACTGTCTCCGGTGAAGCCAGAAGCACCCACCTGATGGGGCCCTGAGTTTGAGTGGGTGGGAAATGATGCAGAACGGGGGTTAAGCCTCTCTCTCCAGTTTCAGTGCCAGGGGGAGCAGTGTAGGCCCTGGTTCCCCAACCCCGATCAGCACCGGGCAGGCTGATGGAGCAGGAGAAGCACTGGGACATGAGCAGAGCCATGGAGGGCTCCAGGAGTGGGCCTGCATGTGAAATTGGTGGGCCATGGCCCACTTAAACCCACCTGTGGCTATGGCCCTACCCTGTACAGGTTGAATCTTGCACCAAACACCAGTCACACTATACAAAAACACAAATCAGGTGTGGAATTGGTGATTGGTTATGAACTTACCTGGCTGTGTAATACTGATGCTAACTGCATGGCTATATCCCAGCATTCTGCAGACCACCGTTCCATCTGTTTCATCCCAATTATCATCACATATTGTTCCCCACTGCCCTTCATGCAGAATTTCGACACGGCCTCCACTTCCTGTTCCAACAAGCCTTATACTGGGATGGTAATAGCGCTCTGCTGATGGAATAGAAGGTGCCCCATTATACACAAAGAAAATAAGATATTTGAGTACGAAAAATGACACAGAAAAATAAGGTGCTAAACCCAGTAACACAAATGGATGGCCACACCTAAATCAACATGGCTCCATGGGAAACAGAAGTTGCTACTGGAGTAAAAATGAGATCAGTTCAGGCCTTTGCAATGGGCATGCTGAACACAGACATATCCTGAGACTACTGAATCAATTTTAGGCCTGTGATTCATACACATCACCTGGATCATTGTAGGCTCAGACTTGTATTCTACTCCAATGGGAAGGGTTACCTCAGCTCCTCCAGGAACTACAGATAGCGAGGGTTGATCATTGTAGTCCCTGGGATGAGTAAACTGGTCCAGAGAAGTACCACTCTCTGAGGGAGTTTGCACTTACTGGTTTAGACTGCGTTCAAGAGACTCAGGAGACTAGGCTATAAAGAGCTGGCTTGAACAGACAGACAGGCTTTCATTTTGAGGCAACAAATGGGCATGGCTTTCTGTCCAAAGAAGGGAGAGGTGTATCAAACACCAGGTTGGAAGGACTGGAACATGCAAGGCCTTTACTGATGTCATGGCAGACCACCAGGAAGCTTAATTATGCATTTCAGGGGTGGGGAACCTAAGGCCCAGGGACTAGATGCAGCCCCCAGCTTGCCCCCCCAGCTCCGGAGCCCCTTCCACCCCAGGGACGGAGCACACAAAATCTACTAGCCTGCCGCTTCCCCCGAGGCTCTGGTGTGTGAGGGGAACGTGGGGAGTGTCTTTTCTCCTTCTCACTCAGGGGCCACATCAGTGAGGGTTGGTTGGTTTGTTTTGCTTCTCATTTGTGCGTGGCTCCTGACTGGATTTTTTTATGGGTCAGCAGTCCCTAAGCAAGATCAGTTCCCCCCCACCCGTCGACCTTTTATAATTGGATACATTTTTTCTGTGAGGCTCTAACAGAGATGTTGGGTGATTTGTAACCATGGGCACATGCTATTTGTAGCCCTTGAGAGGAAACAAAGAACAGAAGCTGACATTAGTCAGCCCTACTGGGCTAAGGAAGGGAATTGTAGGAAGGTGAGGTGCAACCCCAAATCCCTGCTGATGCAGGTCCCTGCCCAGAGATTGGTCATGGTGAAAGGCCTCCTCAAGCAGCCCATCCAAGAGCTCAGAGGTGCAGTTACCCCAGTAGCACAACAGCCCTGCTCCTGCAGGCTCTTAAATGCTTGCTTCACTTTATGCACATGGGTGGTTCTGGTGACTTCACTGGGACCATGAAAATGGTCAAAGTTAAGCACATGTCCTGGATCTACACTGGGTCCTATACTGTACTGGTGTTATAGGGCCAGTTCTGGAAAAGAGAGAAACATCTAGTACCTTGTGCAACTCTGCCACCGTTGCTCCCTGGCAGTCCTGTTCCAAATGAAAAAAAAAACCTCATCATTAGACATGCTTTCAAGGTAAAGTATAATGAATTCCATGATGTCTTATACTTGTGTGGATCAGGCATGCAGGCAAATGCTCAAACAAGACTCCATCTGCCTCACACATTTAAGATTTTAATCCAAATGGATTAAAAAAATGCTCCCATTCTTTTGCTAAAAATAGAAACCGACATGCACGACCTCTTTTGTCATCTGGCAGGTGCATTTTCTTCATCGCTAACAAGAATTAGATGTGGGAGAAATCCAAAACTGCCTGACTGCATGCTGGCATTGGAGTCTGGTGTGGCCTAAAGCAGATTTCAAATACGGGCCAGGAGTGAATTAAGAAATCAATTCTTAACACAAGATCCAGTCTCACTGTTCTGATGGGGTCTACATCAACTGGAGCGTCACACAAGGAGGAAAGTATATTTCAGTCCCGTGCTATTGATTTTAAAAAAAGGTTCCAACACTAGTAGCTGCACTAGTGTTGAGGTAAGCAGGACAAATAAGGGCTGATGTGAGATGTTACAATTTGCTCTTCAGAAGGGCATAGTGTTACTGCACTACCTCAGAAACAGCTGGGGAGGAATTGTGACTTTCCTCCTCAGGCTTCCCCTTTGCTTCTGGACTTGTGGCAGTAATTTATTTCCCCCATCGGTGCCAGTACTCCTGCTCCTCATGAGGAGTAAGGGAAAAGTCCTCCTTTTCGAGCAAGCTCAGCTCTGCTGGCTGGGGTTTGGAAGCAACCCTATCAAGTCCCTGACCTCATCCACTTATTACCTGCCCTACCTGCTCATTGCTTCCTCCCTCTTCCCCTATATAGTTATCATCTGGGAAAGGTAAGCAGGGGGTCACGTCCCCTTATGTTGCAGGAGCTAGCTGAAAGAAATATATGAACTCAAATGCAAGCAGTGAATAAATTTTCCTGTAGTGGTTGCACTAAAATGTATTTCTCCAACAGGCAAATTTATGAAACAAAGCGACACAGATGAGTGACGTTAAAAGAAAACATATTTATGTTTAATACAGAGCTGCACAGGAATTGTTCAAGTGTTGGGCCTTATCACCAAAATCCTCTCACTGCAATGCTGACACAAGTGCTGGACCTCCAAGTTATGAGTGTCTACAGGCCAGTCTTGTGATGACACCTCACTGTATCTCACTTGGTCATTCAGTATTTTCCCTAGCTTAATACAATTGCATTCCTTTATTTTTACCCAAAATTGCATGCAGAAAAAAGGATATTGTTGAATTCTTAATTTCATCTAAGCTATTGAGGAGACGTGCCTTGCAAGGGTGTCTATGCTGAGATGACACAAAGGAACAGCAATGAAGTGTAATGAACTACACTAGCAAATGGGGAAGGAGTGGGAAGATAAGGTGGCTAGGACCAGAGAATCTGTTCTCATGACTATAAAACCCTTTGCATATTTTTTACCAAAGTTTCTAGGAAGACAATATTGTGTGATGAGATGCAGCATCCAAAATTTCTGGAAGATGGGTTTATTTGTGTGGGAACATGACAGTGGGATTGAAAATCAGGTGTATAAGGAACTTTAAAGGCACATCTACACTATGAGGAAGATCGACACTGCCACGGTTGATCTTCCAGGGTTTGATTTAGCGGGTCTAGCATAGACCTGCTAGATCAAACTCAAAGGGCACCTCCATCGGTGCCAATACTCCTGCTCCTTGTGAGGAGTAAGGGAAGCCAAGGGGAGCATTTGCTTCCGTTGGCCTCCTGCTGTGTGGATAGCACAGAAACATGATGTAATATACATCGACTCTAGGGATGCAATTTACGTAGCTGGAGTTGCATATCTTACTTTAATCTTCCCATGTACTGTAGACCACACCTAACTGTGGAACAATAACTGCAATTCCATAATATTTCACAATGCAAAATATACCCGCTAATCATCAGAAACCTGGATAGACAGTCTTACCTCTGGAGAGCCATAATTCCCCTTACTTCCCTTTTCACCAGGTAGGCCTCTAAGCCCTAGGAGGAAAATACCAGAGAGCTGAAGCCTTAGTCTATTTACAAAGAAAAGCACATGACAAGAATTACATGCAATCACCTTCAAAAGTTAGTGAAACATTTCATATAAACTATCCTGTTGTGTAATAATCTATTTGCATAATTTAATACGGCAAGTGCTTTACCTGAATCTCCCCGTTCTCCCTTTGGTCCTGGAATGCCTAAGATCACCAAAACCAAAATTAAGTCAGTCAGATATATTCACACTTTTAAGCTTCCTCAAGCTTACATTTATCACTTACGTTTCGATTTATGCAGACAGGAAAGCATGTTGGTTCTCCAGCTAATGGTTAATGAAGTAGATAAGACACGTATGATATATGGGCACATACAAGATATAAAAATAAGAACTTATTAACCAATGAAGATATGCTTTGAAGATCCGTTCTTAGAGGATAGGTGGACCTTTCATTGATAACATACCAAAATTAACCTGAAGTGCCAAATACAAAGCTGGGGTAAGTCACAGTAGCTTCATTAGTGTTAGTGGAAGGAGATTTGGGGAGAGTTTTCTTAACCTGCTGCACTTTATGTTTTTAAGTTATATAAAAAGATGTCTCTAAAGACCCTTGACAGAGCTACATAAATAGGCATGTTGCCATGGAAGTGTGGGGGAACTCCGTGCCCACTCCTGCAGGCCCACACTGCATTAGTCCTTTGTGTATGGGTGTGAGTACACTGACTCCTGTGTGTTCATTCCAGTGCATCACCCTGTTTGAATGACTTATATTGCCAATGCTGAACTTTTTTTTTTCTCCTTTACCTGCTGTTCCAGTCCGTCCCTTTTCACCTTGAGGCCCCCTCTCTCCTGGAATTCCTGATGGTTTAAAAAAAAAAAAGGAGTACATGGGTAATAAATACTTTGCAGAGGATTATTTTAGTAAATTAAAAATGCCGGCAGCTACGTACCCTTCTCCCCTCTCTGACCAGGTATGCCATCTGAACCAGGAAGTCCTGGGGCACCAGCTTCTCCTTTCAGACCTTAAAGTTGAATAACAACATAAGTGAAGTCCTAAGAACTACAGCGGATAAAAGAACCAAAGAAACGTAGGTTCTCCACCCTTGCCCTAGACAAATGTTAAGACCTAGGGGCCAGATGCAGTCCTCAGCTTGCCTGGAACTGGTGCCCGGAGCTCAGGGCTTCTCCCACGCAGCATAGGGGAGTCTGCGCTGGTGCAGCAGCCCCTGCTGTCCCCACCTGACTGATTTTTCTGTGGGTCAGCAGCCTGTGACCCAAAAAAGGTCCTTACTCCTGCTCTAGAGCCTGATCATCTACTGCTCAAACTCTAGTGAGTTATCTATTCCTGTGCAGAATGAGAGCAAAGTGGGCATAAACAATGTCCAAACTGGAATTCTCTACTCGCTTTCACTAGTGGCAGAATTTCATAACTAGCTATGCACTGTGTAAATAGCATACAAAGTGAAAGGCCGTGGAGAATCAGGTCCATACAGTATTTCAATCTGAAGGTCAAATTCTGCCCTGGGATGGATATACATTGCTTATATATGGGTACATCTACACTGTACACTTCTTTCAAAATAAGCTATTCTGGAAGAAATACTCTGAAATAGCTAATACACTACAGGGAAGCTTCAAAATTAGTCCGAGGCAGGCTTCCCTAATGTGGACGGGCTACCTCGATTTAGAACCCCAGGAGGCACTGGGGAGTGACTACTTTGAATGGCCCTGAGGAGGAGCTACTTCAAAATAGCAGCAGTGGAGTGTCCTCAGTACAGCTATTTCAAAAGAGCTATTTTGGAATAGGCGTTATTCCTTGTGGAATGAAGTTTACAGAATCCAGAATAAGCCATCCGTTATTTCGAATTCATTTCAAAATAACGGAATTGCTGTGTAGATGCTCACATTGTTATTTTGAAATAACGTCAGTTATTTCAAAATAACTGTGCTGTGTAGACGCACCCATATTGATTTCAGTGAGAGTTGTGAGCAAACATTCACATGACCTTCTTATCAATAAACTAGGGAAATACAATGTAGAGGAGGCTACTATAGGGTGGGTGTATAAATGATTGGATTACCATTCTTGGTAAGTAGCTATCAATGATTCACAGTCATGCTGGAAGGGCATAATAAATGGGGCTCTGTAGGGATCAGTTTTGTTCAATATCTTCACCAAGCATAGATAGTACGCTTATGAAGTTTGCAGATGATACCAAGCTGGGAGAAGTTGCAAGTGCTTTGGAGGATAGGGTCTGATTGGACAAACTGGAGAAATGGTCTGAGGTACATAAGATGAAGTTCAATAAGGACAAATGCAAAGTAATCCACTTAGGAAGGAACAATCCATTTCACACATACAGAATGGGAAGTGACTTTCTAGGAAGGAGATCTAGGCAGAAAGGGATCTAGGGGTTATAGTGGACCACAAGCTGAATATGAGTCAACAGTATGACTCTGCTTCAAAAAAAGAAAACATGCTTCTGGGATGCATTAACAGATGTGTTGTGAGCAAGACACGAGAAGTCATTCTTCCACTCTGCTCTGCACTGATTAGGCCCCAATTGGAGTATTGTGTCCAGCTCTGGGCACCACATTTCAGAAAAGATGTGGAGAAATTGGAGAAGGTCCAGAGAAGAACAACAAGAATGATTAAAGGTCTAGAGAACATGACCTATGAAGAAAGACTGAAAGAATTAGGCTTGGTTAGTTTGGAAAGGAGAAGACTGAGGGGGGACATGATAGCGGGTTTCAGGCATCTAAAAGGGTGTCACAAGGAGGAAGGAGAAAAATTACTCTCCTTGATGTCTGATGATAGGACAAGAAGCAATGGGCTTAAATTGCAGCGTGAGAGGTTTAGGTTGGACTTTAGGAAAAACTATCAGGGTGGTCAAACACTGGAAGGTTGCCTCAAGAGGTTGTGGAATCTCCATCACTGGATACATTTAAGAGCAGGTTAGACAGACTTCTATCAGGGATGATCTAGATGGTGCTTGGTTCTGCCATGAGTGCAGTGGAATGGACCTGATGACTTCTTAAGATTCCTTCCAGTTCTTGTATTCTAGGATTCTATGAGTCTTTCTGCTCCAGCAAAGGGACTGGATCCCTAGTCCACAATGGGCCCCAATTTATAGGGTAGGTTTGGAAGGACTGGTCCAGAAGAATCCAGTCTCTCCTAAACGTATTGTCTTGGCTGTAGGCTCTGCTGTTGTTTTAATGTTTTTTCATGCCAGTGCGTTATTCCTTAAGAATACAGTGGGCTTGCACAGGAAGTGCTGTGTGGTGACCAGTAACCGTTGACAGTCGCTCTGGCATCTGTCTCTGAGGAGAAAGCAAGTAGGTGTCCTTGGCCAATCACTCTGTGCTGGGAAATACATAGTGAAGGCAGGGAACAGTGCAGCTTGGGAAACCTGAGTCAGAAAGGCGAGAGAAGCTGGTTGCCACCCAGAAGGGCAACGGCTGGGGAACTGCAAGCCGCAGATCAAATGACCTTGCTGAGCCTCTGAAGGGAGACAGGGGTCAGAGCCATCCCCATCCATATGCTGGTTCTGGGCAGGCGCCCCAGGAACTGTGCTTTGGGGGGCCCCACGGTGGCTGCATCAGCCAGCCTATGGACAGGGCATGAGCAGCCTGCAGGATTACCTGGAGGCCTGGTGCATGGGGGCAACACTCAGCCATTCACTTGGCAGCCTGCTCCACCTCTCCCTGCCCCGCTGCCCTCTGCCAGGCCACTGAGCTCCGCTTCACATGCTGCTGTGAGGAAGCAGAGGGCAAAGGGCTGGGAGAGGGTGATGTGCCAGGGCAGAGCTGAGGCTCCTGGTCCCACCCTGTCCCAAGCCCACTGGTAATCCCCCAACTTGTGTTGCTTTGGAGGGGGAGTCTTTGGGTGGAAAAGGGGAGCAGGGCCAGGATGGGGGTGGAGCAGAGGTGTGAGGAGCAGGACCTGTGGTTGGGGAGATGCTCCAGGTTCTGCACCCCTGTAGGGACAAAACAGATAAAGGTGGAGTCGCTCTGGGCTGTGACTGCCTGTGTCATGCACGAGGTCCGACGCGATGCTCGTAATGGGCTCACTTGTCTATACATATCTGTGAAAGATATTGAACAAAAGACCCTCCTTCTCCTTTCACTCGCGCCTGTGGTCAGCAGCGCCACTGAGTTCTGTGGAATTACTCTGCACGTCCAGTGGTGCAGGCAAGAGGAGAACCAGGCCTTGAACGGCAGGGAAGTCGGTGCGGATTTACACCCGCCACAGACCTGCCTCTTAAACAACTTCCTTGTGAATGAAATGCAGCTCTGAGAGAGATCAGGGTCATACCAACAGGGAAAACTATCCTTTTTGCCTGGCTTACCTGTGTCTCCTTTCTGTCCCGGAAGCCCAAGTGCACTCTCACTGCCTACAATGCAATACAGATGTGAGTGCAAGTGATACTGGTACAAACTATTTAACCTGATATCTCCCCTTTCCTCCACCGACCACCAGCCAGATGTGGCTTTCTGCCTTACGAACTTACCATTCACACCTGGTGGCCCTGCTTCTCCCTTGTTTCCAATTGGTCCTCTGGGGCCCATCACTCCCTTCTCACCTGCTTCACCTTTACTTCCTTGAAGACCTATTTAACAATACAATGACTGTGTGTGAAACAAAGGGTTGGAGCCAAATCTGGGTTTCACTCCCATCGGCTTTTACAACCTCAGTGTCTGGCTATGCCTCTGCATTTCTAGATCTCCAACGTTTTCGGTTGGTAATCGAGATATTGTGACAGACTGCACAAGAATGTGGTAAAATATTTCAGAAGTGACTGCAATTCCCTTCTTCCCTTTGCTGTCCTAGGTTTCCCCCAAGCCTCCGTGAACGTGTTAGGATCTGTTTTGCCATGTATGAGCCAGCTCCTATGGCTGGTGTGAATCAGTGGAGTATCTATATAATACCACCCTCCCTACCAATGTACCCGAGCAGAGAGGAGCAATGTTCTTGTTCCACATAGTCTGTGTAGAACCATCATTCTCAGCTCATCTGTACAACTTCCACCGCTTGACAGCACTCTCCATGCTGTTTGCAGCTGGTTCTCCCTGACCACATCTCAGATGTGGCTGCTGAATACCAATGTAATTCACGTTACATGGGTGAGACGCACTGCATAATTCTTCTGTTTAACTTCCATGAAACTCTGGCTTATATAGGATATAAAGCACTCAGAGACAGGCTTTACTGTCACTCTAACCCACCAAACCTGCACCTGATTGTGCATATAAATTGTATTGTATTAGTTTATACCATATAAATCCTGCTGTAAACACCACTGCTATGATCAGGGATGCGCTGATACATACCTATACATATCCCCAAAAGAGACTATAAAAAACTCATTGTTCTGAGCCAGCATTTCTGGAGGACTACTCTCCTTGGTGCATTGGCATAGCAAGAAACAAAATGGCACCTCACAAATGAGGCAAATAACCTTATTCATCCAGTCCCTTAATTGGGGTGAAAGGAACTTAACTTTCTTATAGGGACTTTCCTATCTCAACCTGGGTTCCTGCCAGTTCTTTCAAAAGCTCCCTGCTGGCTTTTGCTGCAGCTCAGCCAGCTGCACACTGGGGCATACCCCTTTACTTTCATCTCTGCCCTTAACAGACTGGTAACCCTGTGGTCAGAGATATTGGAATCTTTGTGGAAATAACTCAAACGGCGGCACTATAAGCGGAAAAGACTTTAGAAGGAAGGCGAATGAATGTATGAAAATTGCATTGGTAATAATAAGCAAATTATCTTACCTGTAGGCCCCCTTTCTCCTTTCATTCCTGGTTCACCTTTTGGACCAGCAAGGCCACTGTCTCCTTTACTTCCAACTTCTCCCTGTGGTCCTCTTACACCTGGATGAAAAATACCAAACCTCTGACTTTTTGTTGCTTAGAACATCCTACCATAGACCCATTATGTACACCACAAAATGCAATGCCAATACAAGAGTCAAGTTCTGTGCTTGTTGTCACTCCAGAATGACTTTAAAGTTGTCAGTGCAGTTACTTCTCAGTTAGATCTCTGCCACTGAGGGCCAAATGCACTCCTCTCTGTGTAAATTCAATACTGTCTGCTGGATTCTGCTCTCATTCACTGGTTTTACTTTGGTTTATTGCTGCTAATTTCAGTGGAGTTAGTCCTGATTTACACCAGTGTGACTGACAGCACAATCCACTGTAGCAACAAAATGAAGGAAATGCAATACCTTGGACTCCTTGGTCTCCTTTTGTCCCATTGGGTCCTTCTATCCCTGAAATCCCAATACATACATATTATTATTAATAATATTTAATGGTCAGGAAAGATAGATTTTTTGAGTCTATGCAATCCACAGTTTCTCAGCTTCTCAGTTGGTGTAAATGGGCACAGTCACTCCATTGAAGTAAATGGAGCTATGTTGATTTACATTAGATTGGGAACTGTCCATAAGCCAAATCCTGTTGCCTTTGCTCAAACACTGAGATGTACAGGCAGGGAACTGCAGAATTTGGCCCATGGTGGATTCATTGTTGAGTCATGCTGCACAGCAAGAACGTCATGGATGTTTGATGTTTAAAATGCTTGTTTAGCAAAAACATAGACAAGCACCATGGGTGGATGAAAGGGATCAGAAGCAGAACTGGCTTGTTAAGGACCAGAATCTCTCACCTAGCAAGACTGGTGCAATTCCACTGCTGAAAGGTTTGGGGTCCTCAAGCTGGGAGCAGCAGGTCTCCCTGCATGTCAGGAATGGAGCATTCTGCTCCCAAGCTTGCAGAGCAGTTAGGGGCCTTGGGGAGAGGAGATGGGCGAGGGAGAATCTGGTCACTCCAGGATCCTAAATTAAGAACGGGCCAAGGGGCTACAACTGTTGTGTGGGAAGAGCACAGCCTGAGGGATAATTCCTTCCCCAGCATGTGCCACAGGCCAGCCCAGGCTCTGTTGTGGTTCCAGGAGATCGTCTGACTGAAAGGCCACATTCTGGTCTCATTTCCACAAATGAAAAATTGAGAATCTATCCATGCACTCCAGGAGAGTCACTCCCAATTATCCTAGTGTAAATGAGAACAAAATCTGGCCTGAAAACTGGGGCTCTCCTGGAGCAGGAAACACAGGACAACTGGATCTTATGTTGTTTACAACATGCACATTTTGGTGTGCACAAGGAAGTGCTTGACAAAATTATATTATATTTGTGTGGCTCTATCGGCAGGACTGTCATCTCTGAGAGAGAAAATTAACTTACCCTCCACTTACTACCTCTGGCCCATAAAAAGCCTGTGTAAATGACTTCAGATGCGTCTACACAGCAGAGTTATTTTGGAATAGCTGACATTATTCTGAAATAACATAGAGCATGTCTACACTACAAGCCTTTATTTCGAAATCATGTCAAGCCAGAGAACTTCTTACTCTGCCTCATGATAACCCTCATTTCATGAGGAGTAAGGGGGGTTGAAGGAAGAGTAGAAAAGGTGTCCCTAGCTCTGTCAGAGGCTGGGAATGGGTGAAAGGAGAGGGTTTTCTTGAAGGTTCCCTATTCTGCTCACTCCCTCTGGGCCTACTGGCATTGGCCACTGCCAGAAGACAGGATTTTGGGCTAGATGGACCTTTGGTCTGACCAGTATGGCTGTTCTTATGAGTGTTCTTCCTTCGATTTCCTGCTGTGCAGGCAGCACCAAAACCTGAAATAAGCTATTTCAACTTCAGCTACTCAATTGACATAGTTGAAGTTGCATAGCTTAATTTGACATTAGCTCTGCTGTGTAGATGTACCCTCTGATTGCTGCAGCATGTCTTGGTTACACAGGACTTTGAGTTTTCAGTTCTTTGCTTACCTCTTCATTTACTTTTTAGGAAGTGCACCTACTAATCCTTTCTTACCTGCTTCTCCCTTGTCTCCCTTGGCACCTGGAACACCTGCTACTCCAGGTATCCCTAAAATATCAAAGGAGATATGCAGATTGAGTATGGTGTAGGAAAACATTTGTACAGGGGCTGCATAGGGTGGTAAATCAGTACCTGGAGTACCATCCTTTCCAGGTGAACCCTTCTCCCCTTTCTGAGCACTGGAGCCAGAAAGACCTTGAGAGCCATTTTCTCCAGGATTACCTTGAAATTGAATTGAGGAAAAAATTAACATAGATTCTTGTGTAAAGACTGAAAGCTCCCAAACAGGCAAACTAACAGCAACACACACACACACAAAACCCCTGCAGCTGCCAAAGCTCAGCACACACACTTGTTTTCTAGAAGGGAATAGGGTAAAATGCAGGGAATATTGTGGGCCTTATAGAGGACATTCCTCCTCAATGTATGGATTACGTTCACATTGCTCTGAATGCACAGTGGGAAGCAGGTGGTTAAAAACCACGTCAGGTTAAAAAACAGTGGCCAACAGTGGTGCAGGGCAAGGTGCTTAATGCTAGTTATTTCAATCCATGTTAAGACACCAACATCCAAGTGCCAGTGGGAAGTCAGTAGGAAATGCAGCACCTCGACAATTGGGGTGTTTTTATTTGTATTTGTTGTTATCATGCAAGGGAGCATTCACTTCCATGACTTACCCTTCTCTCCTTTCTGCCCAGGAAATCCAATACCTAGAATACAAATACATCCACTTTTGTTCTCGTCTGCTTGTCTATATTGTTAAATATGTCCCCACCTCCTCTGAGTGTCACGTTATTCACTTACCTTTTGACCCTTGATCTCCTTTGCGTCCAGGTGGTCCTCCTAGACCCGGGTCTCCCTTCTCACCTTTTTCTCCTGGAAGACAGATTTGACAATATGTGTTGGACCTCCCTGGTCCTAAAGACCTGGCTGGTCCTGGATGAGGGATTTTTCCAGACCTGGGGAGGTCATTTCTGGTCCCCCTGCTGCCTGCTCCCCACGCCCAGGCTTTCTGTCTTTCCCCCTGCAGCCCAGCTGAGCCATGCTTTGGCCCCCGCTGCATAGCACCGGGCCTGGACTCCCAAGCTTCCCACCCCTGGCAGCATGCTGGGACTCTCTGGTCCTGGGACATCTGTGATCCTTCCAGACCCTGGATGTTGCCAGACCAGAGAGTTCCCCTTTCAACCTGTATAATGAACCAATGTAAATTAACGTCTGTGGCTCACTGAATTGAATAATACAATTCTCATACTTAGGGCCTGATCCCCAAACAGGCATAAACTGACAGCTCCGCTGGGTGCAACTGAATGATGCTAATTAACACCCCAGGAGAATCTGGCCCCATGTATATTTCAGCATGTAACCAACATCTTTTGGGTGAAAAAGTAAAAAACAAAACAAAACAAACAAAAACAGGAGGGTCTGAAAACTGACCTTGACTCCCCTTTTCACCTTGACTCCCTTTCTCCCCTGTGGCACCTGAATGGAACAGAATAAAACCTTCATTTCAGGCAGAATGAGAGGACGTGGCGAGGAGAATGTGCAACACTAGTTAGTTAGACACCAGTGTGAAGTACAAATCGTGGGGACACTGAGGACGAGCTGATCCGTGTTAGGAAAGGGAAGCTGGGCATCACTCCATGTGAATTCATCTGGAAGTAACAGCTTCATGGCTGAGGAGTTTTAAGGCCCGATCCTGAGCTCTGTGAGGATGCACAACCTCCCACTCAGATCAATGGGCCCAAACCAAGTCCCCCTGAAGTTTCCGTTTGCTTCAATGGGACATGCAGGAGGACTGTGTTCTACCGCCAGAACGAGGGCCACAATTTGGGGGGCAATATGTGGGAGCCGCTTGCGCTTTGTAGGCTCACACCTTAATCTAACAGGAAAACTGACATATTATGTGACTCCTTATGGGCTAGGCTGAGCCTGTAGGCTCAGCTCAGAGTGCAAAGTACTGAGAAACCACAGGGGCCGACTCAGAGTGCTCCAGGGCTGGACAACACATGGAGAACACCCACTGGCAGCCACGCTCCCCTCCCCCCATCCACACCTGCCTGCCTGTGGTCCTTGTCAATCAACTCCTCCCCTCCCTCTCAGCATCTCTGGCGTGTCATGAAACAGCTGTGCAGGAGGTGCTGGGAGGATGAAGAAGCAGCAAGGATGGGGCATGGTGGGGCCTTGGAGGATGGGTGGAGTGGGGCCAAGCCAAGGACAGGGCAGGGGTGGGAAGAGGCAGGGAGGGGCTTAGGGGAAGAGGTGGAATGGAGGTGGGACCTAGGGCTAAGCAGGGGTTGAAGGCCTTTGGTGAAAATTTGAAGCTAGCATCTGTCCTGCCCTGTTGCCATCAATTCCTTCCCTGGTCCTATCTAGATTCCAGAAGTGGGTGGGGGAAAATACGTTACCGATAAGGCTTGGTAGAGTGGAACTTACTTTCCCCATCATGTATGCTCATCTACCCTGGCTAGTGAGCAGTGGCCGGGGAGGGGGCTGTTTAGGGGAGAAGACAGAGATGAAACTCTACCAGATCCCTGTTCCACTCTACCCACTTGCTCAGAATGGAGAGTATCCAGAGAAGAGGGACTGCCCTCTGCACCAAAGCCAGACTCCCAGCAGGCCATGCAATGGGGCATGGGAGAAGCTGGATTTCAATGGGACCACTCACAGGTATAAAATTATGCAGGCAACTATGTCTTTGAAGGAGCAGGCAGGGGCAGATGACCGTTTTGCGGGGCCCCGGGCAGCATAATTCCGTGGGGCCCCCCCTTTGCTACGGCGCATGCGCAGTGACGCCATGCGCATGCGTGGGGCCCGGGGCGGCCGCCCCGTTCGCCCTGCCCTATATCCGCCCCTGGGAGCAGGGTTCAAATTACTTCTTTGCTAGTGTCCCCAAATCTAGCTTCAGAGACTGTACAGAACAGGGGAAGGGTGGAGGGAGGAGAGGAAAGGAAGCTTTTCATTGCTTAGATTTACCTACCTGGAGGACCAGGTTCTCCTCTGATTCCAAGCTGCCCTGAAATGGATATTTGACATACATTTTTAAATGGTCAGTGCTCAAGAGTGGATGGAATGGTGTGGTAGCAGGTTTAGCTCTGAGCTGGAAATGTCTCCCTCCCTGCAGGAAGACTAGACGTCCTAGCGAGGCCTGGAAAAAGTCTGAGCCACATTATGTGGTTATTGGGAGGGGGCGGGGTACAGGGAGCCCTCGTCCATTCCAGCACAGGAAGTAGAGACTAGTTGCAACGAAGGGGGACCACAAAGGGAAATTCCAGTCTGGGCTCCATCCCGCCAGGCTATGCACAATCATATCCAATTCTTAGGACCAGATCATCATAATCCCATTCATTTGTTTGTGGCAGCCACTCTCGACTGCTCCATTTTTATACAATGGTTCCTGGCTGCTCCTTAAGTATGATGATATTTTCATAGTAATGGCTCTCTCTCACATAATGCTTTTCCTCAGTACCTCCCAAAGCACTGCACATTGCAACCTTTCGTGTATCTACCTTCACAACTCTCCTGTGAGGCAGGGCAGGATTATCATCCCCATTTTACACACGGGGAACTGAAGCAGACAGAGATTAAGTGACTTGCCCATGATCACACAGGAAGTCTGTGGCAGAGCAGAGAATAGCCCTCCTACCCCCAAGGTTCCTCACGTCCTAAGGCTAGTGCCCTAACTACTGGACCATCTATAATAAAAAGTTACATTGATGGACCTACACCACTTAAGCAGCTGCTCTGAGCCCCCTCCAGTCTTAGAGAAGAAGGCTGGAGTTTTCCTTCAGCACCACAGAATTGTGTATTTTCTACTTAAAGTGGGCTCTGCCCATTGTACTGCTTTGCACAGCACTTTCAGATTGTGTACAAAATACAACAGTCAATAAAATAAGGGGAAGAAATGTAGAGATACCTGTAGCCAGAGTGATATTGTTCATCCTCATCAATAAATCGTTGTTGCTGACCCTAATGATGTTGATTTCCTCTTCTAAGCTTTTGATCAGCGTTTCTTCATCTCTAGTGTTCTTTCTGTAAAAGTTGCTCCCTGGAAGAGTTTCATTGTAGAAGGGGCTGACCAGTTTCTCTGTTAAATATAAGTCTTCTTCTCTATGGATGTTGCGTATTTCCTCCTGCATGTTAAACACTGAGAAAATGGAAGGCATTATAGAATGAATATTCTCAATGTCTGTCTATCAGTCCTGGAAAATTCCTGCTCTGTGGGACAGTTTCTATTGACTGTCTCCAAGTTCCTGTAAAACAGGCACTTCTTTCCTGCAGGACAGGTAGAATGTTACATGAAACCAGTACATATACACTCTGCGAGAGTCCAACAGCCATGCCTCGGGTGCTGCTACCCATGCTAACCTGGCAACGCTGCTTTTTATACTCGGCTAGCTCAAGGGGAGTGCATTGAGCAGGGCAATACATCACTTGCTTGTAGTGTTGACATAGCCATTGTCTCTCACTTACTTAGGTATTTTTAGTGTTCGTTATTGTCGCTAGGTGCCACATATGCCTGGATATAGGGCCAGATGTGACAGCAACATATATAATATCCACTGGGAAAAAAAAAAAGCAGTTTCCAATAGAGGGAGTGCTTACAATGCTCAGGGTCTTTTACTTATCCTCCAAAACTCTGAAGCACTGCAGGAAAGTGTGCTTACCCTCTGCTCATCATGCCACCCACTTCCCCCTGCCTACACATGGAAATCAGCTTCCTGCCATGAGATGGGAGCATGCCCAACACCCTCCCCAGCCTGCAAACACTCGCACTTTGTACACGTCCAGAACTAGCCCTGGGGGACAGGTGGCCATAACAACTCACTACAGAGGTGATATTGATTGCTCTTGGATATTAGCTGGATAATGCTTAAATAATCTGCTGGCTATTTCTAATGCACTGATCACCACAGTATCTTAACTGGTTGAGTGAAGGGGGACTTTCCCAGGCAGAATGGAAAGCTATGACAATGCTGGGGAGGAGGGGGAACTGAGGATGGTGGGGAGGGGCACACACGGGATAGACTAAGTCCCACGGCATATGGCAGAGGAGGAACGGGGGACACACAGAGCCTGTGCCTTGGTGGGGAAGGGAAGAATGAAGAGGAAGGTGGACAGAAGGGCAAGACAGGGTCATGGGTTCTAGTCTTACTCCCTCAGGGTCAGGTTGGGACAGGACAGCCAAAAGCTGGGTGGCCTCAGGCAGGAAGTGTAAGGGGAGGCCTGATGGTAAGGTGGTGGGGTGGGTTCCAGCATGGCCTAGGGGATAGGGTTGTCAGTTCATCTCCTGGCATGATGGGGGACCTTTGGGGGAGAGGGGCAGCACCTGGAGGGATGCCAAGAGCCCCTGATATGTACAATATGCTCAGACTATTGAAGCATCCCAGCCTGCAGCACAAGCAAAAGCATCAGGCTCCAACTCCGTTGCCATCCATTCCACGTGTCTTTGGATTTCCAGGCTACAGTAAATGGCCATTCAGGCAAATTACCTTTTAGTGCCAGCAACCCCAGGCCGATAGTTAGAATCATTAAGTAGATGGCCAGGGCAGTCCAAACACAGCAGGCAGGAAGTTTCTTCTTGCTTTGTGGTTCTAAAAGTCCAATAGACACAAGACAAGCTTCATTTGCATTCGAGTTCCCTGGGCCATCCCCTGTTTATTTACAGCTCGTGCACTTCTTTGGCCAGTTCCCATTAGTGCCAGCAACCCCAGGCCGATAGTTAGAATCATTAAGTAGATGGCCAGGGCAGTCCAAACACAGCAGGCAGGAAGTTTCTTCTTGCTTTGTGGTTCTAAAAGTCCAATAGACACAAGACAAGCTTCATTTGCATTCGAGTTCCCTGGGCCATCCCCTGTTTATTTACAGCTCGTGCACTTCTTTGGCCAGTTCCCA